TCGATAATATGTGTGAACGTGTGGGTGGGTGGGTGTGTGTATCATATTAATATAATATGCTTGTTGTAATGTGGATACGGTGTCTGTTGAAATTTACATATTTTAATAACGATGCTTCAGCGACCCTGCCTTGAAACGTTATAACAATAAGGGTGTACCGGCCACTACGATAATGACGTAATAGGTATCATTTATTTGTTTCTGTAGTGTCCAAGACTTCAACAATGGCAAATGATAACACGTCTTATGGACGATTTTAGAGAGTATGTAATCATTACTGAGAAGTAGGTATAATCTATATATGATCATATTATGAGTGTTCTAATATTTCTCATACTATTAATTAAACCATATTCCTAATAGGTATTTAAAATTATTATACTTTTCGGTACTGAAATTATTTGGAACCAGCACCTTTATTTTTTTTTTCATCAAACTAGGTAGAACCGAACCTGTTAAAACATTAAACTAGATGATTTGATGTCATCATAAAACCATAGTTGTGAAAATATATTATTCTTTAAAGTTTAAACTCTAATTACCTTATCATTGTTTAAGATCTTTAATTTTTTGATTGACAACATGTATTTTTGTTTTAATTATCTGGATCAGAAAATGTTTTCAATATTTTATGAACAAATCGAATATTAAATGAGTAGTTATTCAGAATTTGTATGCTTTGGTCTACTCCAAAATGTGAAATTTAAAATGATGGTGTCATCAAATCAGCTTCTTAAGCATAGTTTATTAAATCTATTTGTGAAACATTGTGCGAAATAGTGGCTTTAAATTGTGTAAAAATGATATAACTATTTTTATGCAATGGAGCTAGAGAAGTTTTGTAATTAGCTAAGCACTCGTCTTTCGTATAATTTCGGTGCTAAATGGATGAAAATCGTTTTACTTTTTCATTTCTTGCCTTTTTAATTAAAATAAAAAATAATGATAAGACATGTAATAGTGGTTGGTTTGTATTTTATATAAATTTATTTATAATTTGTCTATCTTCATAAAAAAACATTTTTTTTCATGAATTCTTATAATAATATAGGGTAAAATATCCATTTTTATTTTTTTTTATTGCCATTTAAATTTTTAATATTTTCTCCTCGATTTTCGCTTCTACTTCATACCATAGTTATATATAGATAATAACATCGCTCGAGTAAACGTTTTAAGTTGTTATTTATTTTTAACTATTTCCATTCTTTGCCATATTATTGAAAACATGCGCTTATTGTTATTTATAATTAAAACCATTCTTTCATAATAAACAATAAGAAACGGTTATTATTTTTCAGTTGCAATTGTTAATTTTATTAAAATGCATTACATTTTGTTTTGTAGTAAAATACAATTCAACTTGACAAATTTTAAAATCCTGAATACGTATATAATAATATGGTGTTTAAATATAATATGATACCTTTTGTCAAATTTCTATTTAAAAGACATTTTTAACTAAACAAAAGTTTGATTAATTATTATCATGATTGTTATCACATTATTATCTTTGGAAATTCAACGATGAGATTTTAAAAGATTTAAATGTATTATCTCATTCAAAAAGCAATGCGACCAAACGTTTATAATAAAAGAGACGAAGTACATATTATAATGTTAAAAGAAAGTTTGAAGGACAATACAATATTATTTCATTTTTGACTAAAATATTATACTTTTGATAATAATGATTTCGACTTCTTATTTTTTTTTTCAAATTAAACGCAAGACTGGAGATTGACGTAATCGTCGCCGTCGCTTTAAAAATTGTTTCACTGCAAACAGATGAACAGAGCGGCGAATGCGTGACGGTCGTGGGTTGTGTCTTCGCAGGGAAAATATTTTGAAATAAAAACCGTCGATTACATCGAAATGGCGTGGTAATGACGATATCGGGACCGGGTGAAAAAAGTTAGCAGATTAACAAGGGCGTGAAAATGCGGGAAAAACGATACGAAATGACCGTCAAGTCGAACTATGCAAATCGACAAAGTTTAACAGCTCCGAATTTTTAGTCGTAGCTGCGGTGGGTACAGTATAAGATAATAGCACGTTTTATTATAGCATATGCTATATAGGTAAGTCAGCACCGCCGAGACAAACGCGAACCGAATAATAATAATATATTTATTTATCAGCGGAAGTCCGTCGAGACGTTTCACAACCCGATTTATACACACGCGAGCGAGATACGTGATAGTCTTTAAATATTTAAAATCGACAGTGAACCATTGCGCAAACCGAACTACACCTACCCAACCCAGCCTGGTACTATACAAACACGATTGGAGGAGGGGATGAAATCAACTACAAACACCGAATTTACCAGCTACAACTAGAACTATAAACGCCATTTCTTCCCCACTGCAGTTTGTATAAGGTTCTATCAAAAATAAATTTCGGAATAATATTAATTGGATTAGTTTGATATAGATATAGTATTATATATATTATTATATTATTTCGTGATGAATGCATGATTGATTTTACAATGATGTGAGTTTATTATTATTTTCGTTTATTTTCTTCTTTAGGGTATCAAAAGTAAACATTTTGGAGCCATTTTCCAAATCATGGGGATAAACAAAATACAAATAAAAAAATTGGGAATACATTTTATGCGAAACAAATTCCGTGTTATATAATTTTCTAAATAATCAACAAAAATGAATGAAAAAAAATTGGCATGATAACTGAGGACTTGAAATCAATAACGGGCCAAGTGCCAAAAAGTTGTTTCTGAGTTATTCAATTTTTAGCCCGGTATAACCACATCCGGCACATAGCTCTCACGACATTTGTTTCCTATTTGTTCACCAATATTATGGTCGTGGCACATAGCCCTCTTTATAGGTTGTTTGCGATGGCACATAGCTCTGTTTTTCGAGTCTAACTCAATTTTTTTTTTTTCGGCACTTAGCCCGTTATTGATTTCAAGTCCTCAACTCAACATCACCTTATGACAAAATTATTTTGTATGTGTGTTGTAATTCAAACCCGAATAACCCTTTAGAGGCGATGAATATTATATAACGATAAAATTCAATGAAACATTTTCTAGATATTATGGTAAAATTTAAAAAATATATCCGTTTTTTGTCATATTTAATGACATTTGAAATGTTCACCATTGTTAGTTTTTATTTGACGTATGTATAATATGATACATTTTTGTCTGTGTGTTACAAAGCTTGATAAATTCATACGAAATTCCTCTTAAGATTTTTTTACAGCAATAAATACAAAATGTCGATAAGACATAATCAAATCGTATTTTATTAATAATAATAGTTTTTATAATCTCAATAAATGAATTCCAAATGTAAAATAATGCATGTATAACTATTGATTGTTGATTGTCTCTGAAGTATGAATAAATGCTGATATAATAGTTGTGCCTACCGACCACAGACATTTTGACACTCGTATATAAACCAGATATACGAATATAACGATATTATATTTTGATTATTATTATTATTATTATTATTAGGTAGGTACAATATTATAAATCAATATTATGGTGATCGGTAGTATGGATTAACAAGCATTCTACTAGCTCTATGCCGAATAAATGAATAAAGTTTTTTGTATGATGCCGTTTTGGACGTCATGTATACTCGATTTTCCTCATTTTATAATATGAAAAATAAATAAATAAAAAATTGCTTACGAAAATTACCATCTAAAAATTGGAATGATAACCAATAGCCATCTACTTCAATGCCCAATGCTATTGGTATATACTTCTATGTTTATTAGTATATTAAATTCACAATATATAGAAGGTGCATTTCCCTGACATCTCACCTCCAAATTGTTGGATTTAAACCATGCGTTTTTGTTTAAGTTACGTTAATGCTGGAATGAGCTCTTCTAAATTATTAGTAACCGTGGAGGTTTTTTAGTAGTAGAAATTAAAACCAAACATATTTTTTAAACTCATTGAATGTTCAATCTAGGATAGAGTTGTATACAGAGTATAAAAAAAAGCAGAAGTTACGAGTAAACTGTGTAGTTTTTAAAAATCGAAATGTTATATTTTTTTCTTTCCGTTTAATTTAGGAAACAATTGGTTTGGCATTAGAGTTGGTGTTGGTATGTCATTCGAAAAATCTGATTTAAAGAGGACGTCAACGCACTGTTTGTTTTCTCCCTCTGGCCCAAGTTGTACCACATAGACAAAACAGGTATGTTACAAAAACCGGGTTTCTGGAATATGTTACATTAGCACCCTTTGTAAAAAATTGATTTTAGGGCATTTGGGTAAGTGTACAAATGGAATAACAATAAACGTCTGGGGAATTCATTTTGTGATTTTCAAATAATATGCTGGAGCAAATGTTACCTACCTAAATAAAACACATTCAAGCAAAATATTTTTTTTTTATGTTTTTGAGTAATCCTAGAGTAATATCACCTGCTGCACAAAGTATAGAAAATAATATTTTGGAAGGTGTGAAATATCGATTTGTCTCAAAACTCTAAGATTACTAAGAAGTTAAAAAAACTATTTTAATATAAAGGCTTTTTATTTATGTTTCACGATAGTCTGAGAAAAACAATTAATATTGCGCTGACATCCTCTTAACATTAATTAGTTTAAATTACAATCGTATTGTAAGCTACTAATAATTAGAGCTAAGAGTTAATTTAGAATTTTTGCTTTGCAATTTCAATATGATGCCTTCACATTGAAACAAACGATTAATTTTAAATTGTATTTTGTATGAATAATGATTAAGATTGTTTTGTATAAATACTTTTGAGAAAAGTAATAATTTAATTTTTCTACATTAAAAATAATTCATAAGAAAATGTCGATTGGACATGTCTAATATGTTTACTGTTTATTCATAAAATTATTTTACACGGTAAGATCATTTCAATATGCTAAAAATGTACCTATCACACAAAACAATTTGACAAAAACGTCTTTTGAAAATCGTACTTAACCTTAAAATATTATAATCACAAAATTAAAATGGTATACTCACGTATGACGGTCAAATTGACATTGGAATTTCGAGTGGGTGATTTTTTGAAATCCACCCGACACTTGTACATGGCTGCGTCCTTGTCCCCTATGTCCTGCACGATAAGTGCTGCCGGTTTTGAGGTAACGCGAAAGTATGCTCGGCCGTCCAAAGTCTTATCGTCAGAACGATGAGGGCCCGTAACTACGATGGACTTTTGCAGTGGCCCGTCTGGCGTTTTGGAGGAGGGTGCCACTGCAGGCATCAAAGGCCCACCATGTCTCACGTCGTAGCTGAAACACGAAAACGGATGTCAATATTTCCGTGAAAAGAACATTTTTAGTAAATTATTGACGAAAAACAATGTTAGAGACACCATACACGCAGGCTGAATATAACATTAGCACTAACGGCTAACACTTATCCTTTTTGAAAATAAATACTTCGGCCTATCTGAGATAGGTAGGTAAGTAGTTACATAGGTAACAACAATTACATGCAATCCAAACATTGCTGCCTACATTTTGTTCATCCACTATTGTGTTTTCAGGGTAAATTATAAGATGTTTCACCACCAGTATTTATGTAAATTTTAAGTGCTCTACATAGAGACTGGAACCTTTTGAATTTATTGGTATCGGTTCCGGTTCTAGTTCTTCAAAAATAAAATAACTGTTCCGGTTCAGTTCTATAAAATAAAATAAAATAAGGGTAACCAGATACCGAAAAATATAATAATTTTAAACTCCTATACGGAATGCTGGTTTAATTTATAGTATAAGAAATATTAGAAAACTCATACGATCATGCACAGTTTATACACGAAACAATAATTCCATTAAATTATGATAAAGATATTTATTTTATTTTTGAACCTAAAAGAACCTATTTAATTTAAAAATTCTTATTCGGTTCGGGTGCTTTATTTATTAAAATAAAGGTTTTGGTTTCGTTTCTTAATATTTTAAAGGTTCCGGTTCCACAACCGGTTCTTTTAAGTTCGGTACCAGTCCCTGGCTCTACCGCAAATGATCGTGCAACATTGAAGCTTTTAAGTAAGTGCCTGATCACCAAATTATGAAGAAAATGGATTAACAGAGGAAAGTATTTCTAATTTTAATTTTTTTTAGAGTTATTTTTGAATGAAAACAACTAACTACTATAAATTAAGAAATTGATAAAAGATAATATTTTCGATAAGATAATATATCTGCTTTTAGTATATTTTTAGTATTTATTGTAAAACAAATAAAATAAAATATTCATTCTTTACAATCGTAACTTAGTTTTCAAAAACAGTCATGTAGTTTTGTCCATAATATTTCATAGTCTATACTTTAAATTTTGTAACTTGTGAGCTATATAATCCACGATGACACGATGTCTATTCTCGGTAGGTTCGTTTTTAAACTTCAAATGAGAGGGTAAACGTACATTCATCCATCTTAGGACTATAAATTCTTTTCAAATTTTAATTTGATATTCTTATATTGATAGATAATAGTATTTTATTCGTAAGTACTTAAAGTTTAAGTAGAAAGGGACACCAGTGAGTTTTATGGTCCTCAATAATCCGCCATTATCTTTTCCCAAGATATACGAAGATTTATAACACCAGATACAGTGCATTATATCTTATGCATAACAATTTAATGCCTTGGAATTTAAATATATTACGCATTCCGTGAATTATTATTATTGTTCTTCAGAGATGTGCAGTAAAATAGGACGTGTGAAAACAAATCAGAGCCTTCGTTTTAGTATTGAATATATTTTGATATGCGTGTTACACACGATACTATTGTAAGACGGACGAGTGGGATATTACTATGGTTATTGTGTTTAATATAATATTATTATTACAATATTATAACCATACAATGTTTTACGATCTCAGACGTATAATATTATGGATAACGAGGTCGGCACGTGGACTTATGGAATGAGATTAAGCTTAAAACTCAGCTTAGAAGTAGGTAAGAAAATGCATATTGTTTAATTTGTTTTTGGATAAGTCTCGGTTCCTTCTACGCCCGTCTATAAAATACGTCAAAAGAAGTATAGAAAACTACTCTAAACTCTATGTCTTACACTCTGTATTGGATGTATATTATATTATATTATATTAATGCAGTAACGACTAGTCTTTCTAACTAACCATTTTCAAAAAAAAAAAAACTTTTACAACCAATGCTTTTTAAAGAAACCTGTCATTGCATCCATATTATTTATACTAGTTGTGATATACCTGACGAGATCAGTCTATAAAGAGCCCTTTTCTTTATAACACAGCGGAATCAAATAGTTTTTACTTAAAATTATTAAAGATAAATGTTAGACAATTCGAGTATTAACATAAATCTTACGTCTTCAGTCTTATTGTTTAGACTTCAGTTACAATATATATTAATATGTATTCATTTATTTGACGGTAAACTGTTTTTGGTATTATACAACCACACTTGTTTCCATGGCGTGACTTATAGTCGCCACACAATAAACGGTTCGATCGAAGAGTTGAATTCCTTCCTTACAATCGACGAGAACCGATTTCTACAGTAAATATCGACGACGATCTTTCGCGAGCCAGTGCTCAGAAAGATTGAGCAATGTTGAGAGAAATAATAACAATGATATTTTTTAATGCAAAACGAAAGACTACAATATAATATTATATTGTTATACGCGTGTTGAAAGCGAGCAATGCGGTTCATACTATAATTGTATTATAATATATTACATATTATCTTAAGGATGTATTTTATTATTTTGTATTTTTATGACGACGCGAAGTTGTGTCGTTTATTTTCCTCCTTTTGTGACGCGAATTTCATATCACTGCCCGCTGGCCGTGGACAAATCCCGAGCACGGGTCTGTCTGGCGGATAAATCCGACGGCGACCGTATACGGTTAGGATAGGTTAGGTTAGGTATATATGCATATAAATCGGTTCGTTTGGTATACGTTCCGTTCCTTAAATATTATAATATAATGTGCACGCGTACATACTTATATACATATAGACAAATACATGTATATACACCGCAATAAATATATGTATTGTGTAATATATTAAGCGCGCTGTGTTCTGGAGCATTTACTGTACAAAATATTATAACGCGTTTCGTATTGTTCGGCTTCCGGTCCGACCAAGACGGGGCCAAAGGGTTGCGTACGCGACGTGGGTAGAAGCAGGACATACATTTTTTTTTTATGATTATTTCGTTTCCCCTCGCAATGCCGACCTTAAACCGGCACAGCGAGCGGACGACCCTCGGTAACCGGCCATACGTATGTTATATACCACGCGGTATAATACTACTGCGAATAGTTTCTATTACCACGACCACTGATATCGCTTCATAATAATATACAGAATATAATAATATATATACTTACAACCGTTGCTGGTGCTATATACGCATACGGTATACACCGAGTGTCATTAATACATTACATAAATCGGCCTCGCGTAGCGTTTATATGGTGCGCACATATTATTATCGCCGTTTATTACAATACATACAACAATATAATTCCGTTTCCGGTTTGCGAATTTCCGACAACTGCGGCGCCGTGACGTGCGGTTCCGGCCTCCAGAAACGACGTTTGCAATACTATTGTACCGCAGACCGAATACCGGTCGCGTGCTCGTACCGACACGTGTTCCAACTCGTGTAAACGATTGTCATCCAAAAATCCGACAAAAATGACAATGTTATTCTTATGTCTGGGTCACTAGATCAAAGTAGTTCATGAAATCATATGATTTGTAGTCCGTCTCGTTATTATGCGGGATAACTATTGTATAGGGTAACCTGCCTACGGTAACGGCAATAATGAGCGAAGACATCAAATACGCAATTATTATGATTTCGAAAAGCCCGGACTTGAGTTGGTGGTTTGTAGTCGGACGGTTTATAAAGGAAACGTACGTTCAGGAGTAAAGTGGTATTTTTGAAATCAACCGTTCTTGTTAACAAAAATTTGGTTCGTACATCGAATATGAGGCAACGAGACGAATCTAAATATTCGAAATCGGTTTCCTAAATTAAAACCTGATATCATAATATTATAATATTGTATTATTATTATTATCTTTTTGTGAGCGAGCGCAATAATAATAAAAATAAATAAATAAATAATAACAATCTGCGTTACACAATACACTCCGTAGTGTACCTAACCTCGCACCTATTGTACACACACGATATTATAATATGACGCTGTGATATAATATCGTATTATGGTATTATATAATTGTGTTATGATATTAGGTACACTCGTTCGGGGCACTTTGTGGCGAATACTTATTCCGGATACGCGGACATATTATTTTAGCGTGCCAACGGAATGACAAAAAACACATATATTTACGGTCTCGACTCACTAAGTTGACAGGCCGACCGCCGCAGCTGTGATACCAAGAGAGGACGCAGACGACAGTTCGAGCAGTCGGCCAAATAAACAACGTCGTCGGCTATTATACAATAAACACACACACACTCACTCACCCACGCAGACAGAAAAAATATATTTTTATACTTTCAAAAGAAAACGAATGTTTTTTGTCAAACGAGTGCGCCATGTCATAAAAAGTTAGTCGAGCAATAAATTTGGCAACTAAACGGTCAGTTTGGAGATGTCCACTGCTGCTAAAAAGGAAACCACACAGTGTACACATATGTGTATATATAAAAAAAAGAAATGTACGTAGTGTACTCGACCGATTTTTCAAAAACCGAAAGTTTTATTATGTGCACACACTCATATAGTGTTTATGTTAGCAAACATATGTATTGTATATAATAAACATAATAATAATATACATTGTCCGCCGAGATCGGAACTCGGTCAAAGATTCTATTTTATTGCGAGTTGGATAAAACCATCCGATTCCGAGAACAAACTTGCGTTTAAGGACATACGCGCACGCAGGACGAATACTAATATTATATATAGTTAATATATTATATTATACGACGATGTATATGAATATATAATAAAAACCAAAGTTATTTCCCCTTTTGGTTTTGCGTGTATTTATAATATTATAATATTTATTTTGCGTTATACAAGGGTGAAGTTTTCTTGTTACGCACGTCATAATCACCAAGTTTAAAATATTTCCGTCCTACGATGTTTCTATTGTCTTGATAATAATATTATTATAGTTAATCGTTCGATGCGATGGTGTACAAAAACTTATTTATATAATATAAAATAACAACGAATAGAGTATAAATACGAACATCAACGATGTTAATTCTATTAAAAGTGTATTATAGTATAATAATGATCGTATTTTTTAGTGTGTAAAAATTATTTGCAGAACATCCCTTTTTCTAAATAAATAATTTTACGGTTTTAAATAAAATTCCATGTTTTTATACTCAGAAAAGTTAATCCGGGTAATATTGTTTTGCATTTTCAAATACAACTAGTCGACCTTTTTCTACTCGTCGAAACATTAGAGTAGATCAAGAAATCAATAAACAATTTATTTATATTTTCTTTTTTTCTTTGATTAAACCACTTGGCAGTATCAGTAAAATAATTGTACTTGTGTAGTTGTGTGTTAATTAACATTTTAATAATGCTATTGCGCATATTTTCGTCGATAAAGTAATATTATTTAATGACTAATAAGCACATGGATCGGATAATGGAAATCGGCGCTGCGAATATCATTCAAATAATAACAATAATAATAATTTTAAATATTAAATAATTATGGTCTATTTACCTGTATATCGGATTGGTCTCTCCTTGTTTGAACCAGATGACCAACGTAACACGATCAGTTGCCGTCGGTGGAGTCATGTTGCAAGGTAAATACGCCACCATTCCGGCCACAGCTTCTACGTTTGTGGTTATCACTGAAAAATATTAAAAAAATATATAATTATTTTAGTTTTATTCGTTTCGGTTTCGATCGTAATAATAGTTTTTGTGCCATGAAAACCGTGTGACTAATTCGGTATATATCATACCGTAAACAGGAAACGAAAACATTTTGATAAGTATGGCGTTCAATAAGGTCTGTTTCTACTAAAATATATTGTTAAATCTAAATTACTCATGTTGTACTAGAAGTAAATATCTTTATAATAATAAATTACCCATTCAAAGTTGAAAAAGTTTCTTAAAGTTAAATTGATATACCCATGCTCGTCGTTAACTAGGTAACTGATTTTTAAATATAGATATCATTGTGATATTATACGAATACATTCTATGAATGGAAATTTAAATAAATAAACAGGAAGATTGTTTTTTTTTTTTTGTATGTGACAGTAACAATTACCGATACATATTTACAGTCATGTAGGGTATTATTACAATTTAAAGCCATTGTACATTGTGTGTAGTGTATTTCATATACGTTTTTTTCTGTTTCAAAATTGCGAAATAAAACTCGTAATACTACGTTGACTTAAATTTAATATTATATGGTCCATTAGTCGTTACATTCGTTTTTCGACGTCACGAACACTGTTCAACGAAAACGAAATACTATAACATACAATTTTTGTGGTTAACTTCCACACTCAACGCACTATACCGTTTTTACAAGAATAATGCTCAGGCTTTTACCTACATTATTATCACTATTCTCAGCATCGACAAGTAGGTATATTGTGTGAATCTCACATCGAGTCAGTCTTATTTCGGCCGACGACAATATTACAATCATAACAATACAATACGTACTGTACACCGAGGAGAGGCGTGTAATCTCCTCCAGATCAGAAAACTAGAAGTAATTTTTTATAAGGTTACAACTCGTAAGATGGTCTACACAACCAGTAGAAAAGTTAATAAGTGTGCTCATAAAAAATACGTATAATGCACACATGCAGATGTGGTTGATACCAATATTATGATTTAGTCTATGCACGACGGCAGTATAAGGAGAACAGTAAGTTTTTAGTTATATTTCAATAATTCTTTGGATGAAAAATGTGTAGAGATACGGTTGCAAAGGCGCTTCACGTTTTCATTAACAACATAAAAGTCGATAATTCCAACATTGTGGCAAGTTATTCGGTAAAAACCAAATCACAAGAGGATGTAAGAAACCATCTCTTATCAGTTTGGTGATTAATACAGTATCGAGTTATAACAACGTAGTGGTAGTCAATAATCATAACTGCCAATCTCTATCGATAAAAAAATATCATTTACCTCACAGTTCTATTAATTATATTGGAAACAATAGCAACATGGTAGAAGGAATAAAACGATATTTAATCTAGACATTTTCGTTGACAAAAATACTATAATTTAAACTTTGCTAGGTATTAGACTTGATGACTAAAATTTCACACAAAAATTATCATAGAATACACTATAATTATTCGTCCAAAAGGTTTAAATATAATACGGTCCATCAATGACTCAATTAAGCACACTCATTGATATTTTTTGATACCAGTTCGATGTGTGAGAGACACAATGAATTTGGATGAGATTTGTGAGAATTGTCAAATATTTTTGGTTAAAACCGAAAAAAACTTTATTTGTTTCAGACTGTATACCAACCGAACGTTTACTATATACTATCTCTGCAGTATAAAACTAATTACCATCAGTCGTGGTCGGAAAATGTGCCAATTAATGGGACTCCCCGCGGGCATCATCATACTGCTTATCAGCTTTTTTGGCCAGTCGGTTCGGTTTAAGAGGAGGACGAAGAAGAGTTAGAAGGAAAAACGAGAAAAAAGTTATACAAATACAAATCGTTTTAATAAACAAAAACGGTATGTAATTTTTTTTCTCATCCTTTTTTTTCACGATCTCTTGCAAACAACGCAGTCTAAATAGCTATAGTGCCGCCGGGGATGCAACGACCGAGAAGGGTGGGCGATCGCTCAACGTTTTGACGGGCAAACGTTTTTCTTTTACGCCCCAAAGTGCCGACATCAGCTCCAGGACGCCGGTGGCGGTGCACACCCGGTCTTCGTCTTAGTAGTCGTCGTCTTCGTTTGATTAATAGACTGACTTTTCCAATTGAGCCCATCCGCCGTGGTCGACCGGAAAAGTTACTCTCCTTGGAGTCTTTCGCCCAGTTTCCTTTTCGTTATATTTTTTTCTCTTCTTTATTCGGATCCACCCGCAACGCCGAAGTTTCACTGAGTTTTCACGAGTGCGCTGGCATCACTTTTATTTTTATACTGTACTATAATAGAACAGGTATCGGTTTTTTTTCAAATAATAATTCAAATATTTCGTTTTATCATTTTCTGGGGCACTCATTTTATTTTATAAAAACAGGTGGGTCGTGTGGAGTGAAAGTGTCACTAGATTAGAAATATCAAATGTCGATGTAAAAATTCACGGGTTACGGTGAAGTTTCTCTTTAAATTTCACTCAAGTTTAAGTTGAAATTTTTAAAAATATTCGTCTTAAAATAATATAACATAATGTACTGTGCGAAAGAGTATAGTCTTATAAAAGAGGGTTCCCGTGACTGATATTTCACAAGTATGTTTATAGTTGTTGTATACAAGGATGAATAAAATATATAAACTATTTCAATGACGTGGGGGTTTTAAAAAAGCTAACTTCCAAATAACCAAAAATTAGATAATTAAGTTATACATTTTATAATTAATTAAAAATAACTCCCGTTATAGTCAGTTTTAGATATATTCATGCATTGTTAAATCGGTAAGATAAATAAGCAATAAAACGACCGACCTTGCATATAACTGTCGTCTGTCGATATTAAATGAAGTATATACAATGCAATACAGTGTATCTATCCATAATATTATTAAATAAAATTATGATAAAAAAATAAGACGAAGTAAAAATATATGAACCCTAGACTCAGGTAGGTGTACCTAAATTGCCTATTCAGTACGCCGTGTTGTCTTCATTTTTACATATTTTAATAAAAATGCTGTCACATAAAACATAAAAAAAACAATTTTCTTGATAAACTATTAGGAACGACTCCCCCCCCCCCAAGGGTCAGAACGAAAATGGACCCAATGGTGATTAGGATAATATTTTAATTAATAGGGGCTTTCATTTTTATAAAATCATAACTATTATTAAGAGAGGCAAGCAGTACTGTACTACAAATAAGTCGAACGTTATGAAAACCACGAAATTACTCCAAATGACCGGGAACGACTGAGTGTGACTATACTATGATAGTAGATCTCGGGAAAGCTCTTGGGAATATTCGAATTTTTTTTTTTTGGTCGGAAAAACTAGACCTTTTGTGACGGAGGAGATAGTTTTGAACTATTTGTAGTTTCAACACACGTCCATACGGTAGGCTGATTTACAGGCATTTTTTTTTTATGCAGATACAAAATATGCGACAGTTATGTGTACGATGACGACCTGTTTGGGTAGTGCATAGACTAGTTCGGTCACAGGCACATGTTAGCGTACGGTGAATGGAAAGCGAAAAAAGGACGTGAAAAAAATAATAATCGTAAACTGACAATTTACCACACCCAAAACTTAGGCGCTATAGATAACGCGTTTTACTGCCGATATCGTCGTTTTATTGCCGATCGCGAACGTTAGGATTGAATAAACCGTTTTCGATCTTGTAACGGCGTTTTTTTTTCTCGAGTTTTCCGATGTTTCGGAAACAATAATAATATAATTCAAACTATTTTCCTGGCGGCGGCCGCTTAACTATCACCCAAGGCGGACTTTTCCGATATTATCCATCAATATAATAAACAAAATAAAATATATAATACCAGCGCGAGAGTTACACGCTCGCTCTAATGACTGACAACACGAAGAGTGTCTATAACATTACAATCACGTTCGTATACCAGTGAACGTGTTATTACACCGGAAGTGAGAATTTTCCATATTATCAACTCGTTAATAATTTATTTCCAGCAGACACATCGGAAAAAATCGACTTTCTAATCGATTTTAAATCCAATTTATATAAGAACATTAATTTCTCATCGATAAATAAAAATGTAATTACCATTCCACTGTGACTGTAAATAATGAAACAATGGAGTACACACACACTTCTCAGCAAAGGACAATGAACTAATCTATTACTACATTATAGGTACAGTGGGTACTAACAAGGACGATATTGTTATATTGTTATCCTCCATGTTAATGTGTTTTAAAACTAATGTGATTTTATTATTTGTGAGTGTTTTTCTGACCATACGGTTTGGAGCAGATAAACGCTTGAATTGTCTATCTTTGAATTTGGTTTATGATAGAAACTATTATGATCTAGTTGGTACTTAGAAGAGAGCAAAAGAAGAAAATCTTCACTATCCATATTAAACAATTTGGGAAAACTGACGAAAACCCGTAGCAAAATGGAGATATTGTTATAACACAGAAAGAAAGAACCATAGATATTTAAGTGGCACAAAATATTATTACTAACATTTTTCAGACATGGTATATAAATAATTTAATTATTTTAGATATTTGGAATTTTTTGATTTATGTTGATATTATTTGTTATTTTTAGTCAACAATTTTAAGAACCTAATGGAATATAGTTCATACAGCATATTGAAAATATAAATAATACTTGGGTATCTTAGGAATTTTATTTTTAAATGTTGATGAAATCGTCTATTTAATACAATGTTTTTCTCTTGGTTATTGGTTTTAGTTGTTTAGTCAAGTTAGAAAATTAATTAAGTTTCCAAAAAAATATTAATCTCAGATTTTCCATTCAAATAAGTCACTGTAGGATTCTGAGTTTCCGGGTGACACCACCGACTTAATATTATTATGTGTCTGCTGAATATTTCTGGATAAAATGCTGATTACAATTATAGTTATTACATAATATATTATCGTAAACGTGCTCTGGCACTACATATTTGCATTTAACTGAACGGCTTTCAGACCATGGAGTTTGAAATTAAAACGTTTGACGATGAAGAAGCAAATATAATATTTTTTTTGTACAGATTATATTAAAAACTGATATTATTTTTGTGCAAATTATATCAAAAATTTATATTATTTTTTTACAAATTATATTAAAA